CCCGCCCCGCGCCCGGCTGCGGCCTTCGGCCGCGAGCGAGCGGGACGCGCGTCTGGCCCGGCGGCTCCGATGCCGGTGGCCACGGCGAGCAGGAGGCTGCCCGGGGCCGTGCTCTGGGAGTGGGGCCTGCGACGTGCCCGCCTGCCGCGAGGGGAGGGCTTTGCTATCGCTGTATGTGTGTATACATATAGTGTGTATATATATGTTTTAAGGGGACTGAGATAAGGTAAATTGCGTGTAAATACAGAGGCATCGAAATTGCAGTTTTCAGGTCAAGACGAATCTCTGTGAAGCACGCGAGAGGCGCGTCAGATTAAAATAATGCCGGATTGAATAATAATTCAGACGACCTGCTTGCATCCCTCACACAGGTCTCGGGTGCTTTCCTTGGCTGTGTGAAAGTTAAAGTTAGATTACCTTCCCGCTGGGAACTCTATAGATATTTGTCCTACTTTCTAAAGAAAGAGGCAAGGACAAACATTTAACTATTGCCTTTTCGGAGAAGGGTTTGTGGGGAATGTCCTTCCCCAACGTCAACACTGGGGCTTTTCGAGAGCCGCCAGCTTGTGGGTTGCCTGTGCTGTGTGTCCGTGTGTGAGGCCCCCTCATGCAGGGTGAGCGGACGCGGGAGCTCGTGCCTGCCTGGCTTTGCCGGCAGTTGCGGCAACCAGAGAGGGAGCCAGGGGCGCGTTACAGTTTTTGGGTCAAGCTGGATCTAAACGAAGCAGTATTGGGGCGAGCCCATGGGGGCAGTGCCAGGCATAGGGCCCCTGCCAGCCCCGCGGCCTGGCCCAAGGGCAGCTCTGCCAGCACCAGGCCTGGAGCTGCACTCACTTGTGTATGGAAAGGAGGGATAAATCCCCCTTGGTTCACACTTTAATAATTCAACTTTGGTCCCTGTCCTTGGCACAGTGAGCCTACAACATGCCGACGAACGATCCCTGTGGTTGCCTAAGTAAAAGCTTTGCTGCCACTAGCTCTAGCAGAGGAAGCATTTGCAAGCGTTTCTCTGGGTTTTCCCTCAGTTTAATGTTGGAGCTCCCAACCTCGATGGACTAGGATGATGACTCTTTCTGCTGAGGCTGATGTCGGGCTGTCACACAGAGGCAACTGCTCTCCCTGCGGTGCTGGGCTGGCTTCCATCAGGGTGCAGCACCGATGACCAGAGCCAAGGCCCTGCTGTCCCATCTGATGTTGAATAGTTTTTATTCCTGAAATGGAGGAAAAGTGAACAATTTTCCACTCTCCTATGAAACACAATTTAAAAATCGCTTGGAGGTTGATTGAAATAAAAAATATTTTGTTCAGATTCTGGTTTAATGCATCCTCTGCAGCACAGTGCACCATTACGTTACTTCAGATGAAATGAATCAAACTTGAAATGGAAATTCAGCCCCAGTGTTTCTTCAGAAGGTATTTATTTATTTATTTATTTATCCAGTCCTGCTAAATGTTCTTGGTAAAACATCTTATTTTAATGGAAAATCTACTACTGGAAAAGTTCTGCTCAGCTGTAGTGGGGGAATACAGTTAACTGGAGAAAACAGTTCACCAGGAGAGCGGTCTGAAACAGTGAAGACTGAACCTCAGAAACCTCATTTGCTGAGATCCTACTTTTGGTTTGCTGAGAAACACAATTCCTGCCTCCTCCATTCCCGACCAGGAGAATTTTGCAGAATCTCTGGCTAAATTATTGGGAAGACTTAAAGCTATTCTGCAAGGATTGTGACCACTAGAATTACATAATTTATATTTATTCCATCCTGGAAACAACTAGCAAGCTCATATATTCCAGTCTGAAATCAGTTAAAACTTGTACTAGCTATTTTATAAATTGTCCTTTCTATTCTGCTTGCTCATACACTTTTCCTTTTGCTCTGCAAAAGCCACCTGCAGTATGTACACAGTAAGCATGCAGCACATGCATAGGTATCCTTCTGTAGTAAATACTGACATGTTTGTTCGTAAACAAGGATTCATACTCAGCTCATCATCTAGCAGGCTTGTTCTGTCGAAACAAGGATTTTGATCTTCCAAAAATATTCCGTGTGTCATATTTTCTCTCCCTTTAGCAAAGCAAATGCTTGTCATAGGTTTTCACTTCAAAAATTGTGCCAGCTACAGCATCATTTTCACCCTGTCTTATATTTTTATTAAGTTACACTATTTGTTCAGAAACAAAGAAATGGCATTTTTAGCAGTTTGATTACTGACACTTATTTGTTTCAACTGCTAGGAAATGAGCATTAGTGGATCAACATCCAAATATACGTGGCTTTGTAAGGGTCTGATTGCTCAGCTGTTCTTCATATTAGCAGATCCATAAAAATCAGATAAAATTAACCCATGAACTTTAGGCCTCACTGCCATGATACTTAGAAACTAGCAGTAGCTGTTATGACTGTCCTGGCTTTCTCCCTCCTGCTCTTTTTTGACAAGCTACATATTTCTTTGCCCAAGGTCTCCAGAAATTTGAAATTTCATTCCATCGCTTGTCATTATATTTTACAGGCTTACATGATTTTGCAGCCTTGGAAAATAACCCAAAAACCTCCTCAGAGACTTAGTCAGGGGGGAGTTGTCTGCCTGGTTGCGATTTTAAATGTCTTTCAAATAAGCGTGAGATCCAAATCAATGCAAAATTCAGCATTTGGGGATGTCATGTGGATTTTTGTTAGTCTCTAAGGATTATAGACTCCATGAAGGGATGAACAGACTATATTTATTCATATTTTCAGCAGTGCCGGTCTCCAAATAACAGAGTTGTTAATAATCAAATTCTTTCTTCTGTTAATATTCTAATTAATTCAGTCTACATATTTAAATAAGTAATTGATTCCTTTACCATACTACAGTAAAAAAAAACAGAAAATCAGCAGAGTATCTTCATGTGGGCTGGAAGAGAGAGCCTGGAAGAACCAGAAGAGGAAGGGCCAGGCCTTTGCTGAAGGGAGCATCTCAGCCGGGGTTTCTGCCGAACAAAATGCATCCCCCCACAGCAGCACGCGAGAGCCTCGAATGCCCCATGTCCCTTCACTGCACACCCTGGCCCTTGTCCCAGAGGCGACGTGCCTAACTTGGGCGTTTCGCAGGCGCACAAGGCTGTGAAACTGAATAAACAATTTGGGAGCGCTCGTAGCTAGGAAGAAAATCAGGAGGAGTAGCTGAGAAGGCAGACGAATGTCTCCTTTGCAGGACAATGTGGCTACCCAGTCCTTGATGGTGTTTCAAGCTGTTCTGTATTTACTCACTTCTTTGCTATAAAATGTATGTATCGTGCCCTTTAGGCCAAAATGCTGTACTGTATTTACAATACTGTGTTATACACATCATTTCTATCCAACTCGATCAATTTTGATAGAATCCTCTTGCTCTAAAATCCTCTGATTCCCCTGAAATCATGCCCTGCAAAACAACCTGAGTAAATAGATAAATGTACACTGGGATCTGCATGCCAACTAGCTTAAGCAACACCAGACCAATGAGAAAAGCCCATTTCAAGGTGTAAGGTCTGCAA